AGCAAACCAGGTCTTCATTCTAAAGGGAAACCACATGTGAGGTCAGTGTTACAGGCAGTGTCCCAGCACCGGGCGGTGGACTCCGACACCATGGGCCCTTCCCTTATGGGTCAGCGCCTTTGAGCCCTTTTATGATGACACATCACGTTCATAAAAGCAAGTGTTAGATGGTCCCTCACTCCAAAGGCTAAAAAGCCTTAAACAAAGGCAATTTTAAGAAAACAATTATGAGTAAGGTTTCTTAAAACTTTGTTACCAACAATCTCAGAATGTTTAATTTCATGATACATTTTCCCATCCCGCCTTTAAGCTAGGTCTGTCCAGGCTTGGTATGCACCTGCATTAAAGGCCTGACTACAGATTCACAGCCAGATCAAGATTCCTTTTCACATTTTTTCCCCAAAGTAACATTTTCCGCAATTATAACAAGAATCATTTAGCATCTACACACCCAGGGGCTACACTTGTGAACACTTTACAGCAGCTGCACGTAAACACATTCTCTCTGCGTTTACTGCCTCTCGGCGGGAGCAGATTTGCACTGCTGAGACAGACCCCAGCATGCTGCAGCAATTTCTGGGCACAATGTGTGCATGGCAGGCGTCGGCTCGAGCGCTCCACAGTGAGGGGAGGAAAAGCACAGGAAGGGAAGGTTTCAACCTACGAACTTCGGGCTCCGCTTTGCCAAGAGGAAAGTAACCACCCACCCCAAACTTTAATTACTGTCTCGTCTAAAACATAAAGTCAAAGCTAAATAAAACCACACCGGTAGCAGTTTTCCTCAGCATGAGCTCCTCATTCTGAGTCCAAACTCAAGCTGAATGAGAACCTCATACCATGCCTGTAGAATAAACATGATGACCAACCTCATCTTAACCCAGTTTTGTTACAGTTTTTCTGTCTAGTGGTAAATTAGGGATAAATCCGGAACATCTAGTTCTCTGAGCATCTCCCACCATTCCACTTTGAAAGGTTTTGTTTATTGCCATACATAAATGACTGATCTTCTAAATTCTAATGAATAAAAACTACCATCAACGTATCTGTCATCAGCACCAGTAGATAAAATACCTATCAAAAGCAAAGACAGAGGAAAATGAGATATTTACAGGTAATGGAGCACTACTCTGCCGAAAAGACGGATAAGCTTGCGCCATTTGTAGGAAAACGGGTGCACCTTGAGTCCATGATGTTAAGTGAAATAAATCAGATGCACAAGTTTAAATATCTTATGAGAAACCCAAATTATAAAAGAAAACGCAAAACTAAAGATAGACAATGGAAGTAAGGGGCCAGACCCTGCTCAGGGGGAGGGGACCGAGCAGGAGAGGGAGGGGCCAAAACGGGAGAAGCGGACGCACACGGAGTGAGGGCATCGCTGGCTCGGACGAGTCCACACAGGAGGGTAGACGGTCGGCCCGAAGACACGGGCTGATGAAGAAAATGATCTGGAAAGAAAAGCAACATAAGCTGATGCTTTAGTCAGCCTGTGCGGCAGCAGAACTGGCTCCCCGCTGCTACGCGGCCCCGGCCACACTCAGACTTCCGACCCTGGCCCGAGGGAGGGCAGGCTGCCGGCAGGAGCGGATACAGTGTCCTTTGCAGCATAGTATACGGGAGCTAAAGACTGAAAGGACCCCAGCTGTCCATCCTGCAGCCGGGCGCCTGCGTAAAGAACACCGGCCACCCCGCGTTTGAGTGGCTGTGAGGGGCAGCAGAGAGCATGGGCTCAGAGCCAGGACGCCTGCCGGCCATCCCCGCAGTGATTCCTCAGAGGGGACCCAGTTCTGTTTAAATCGGCTGTGCACCCTCACAGCCGCACCTGGCTGCACCTGCAAGGCAGAAACAGCAATGAGCCGGAGAACTCGGGCGGGCGCCCCCCCAGGGGCGGGCAGGGAAACACACACACCCCCCACCCCCGCTTCCAGGACTGCACCCTGCGCCCCAGACGCAGACCCGCCCTCGCCTGTCCCTAACCCGCGCGTCTGCGCCTAGCAGAAGGACACGGCCCTCGCCCCGCACCAGTCGGAAACCGGGGCCCAGGGCCGAGGAGCCCGCTCCAGCTTTGCCAGACAGGTCTCCCCACCGACACTCCCAAACACAGCCAGACTTCTCCGCACCTGACTCTACACTACGCCTGTTTCACACAAACCCAAAAGTTGCCAGATGCTCACAATGCATATATATTCACACATTTGCATCTCCATTCACATATATCAAATCTGTGCGCTTATACAGGGAAACACATACCAATTAAATGTTCGGTGATTAGCTCCTCAAAAAAATTAATCCTCAACTTTCTGTTGGTGAACCTTTGTACATCAACCCAACTTAGACTCAATTTTAAAAAGGTACACAGCTGGGCCGGGGAATGTAGCTCAGTGGTTCCGCCGCCAGCCTCGCAAGCGCAAGTCCTGAGTTCGATCCCCGGTACCAAAAAAAAAAAAAAAAAAGATATACAACTTTCTGGTCACTGATGCAGACAACATGAATCCTTTCGCCCTACTAGGCGGAGTGTTCTGTATACAGTATTCACCCTGTGGCTCCTATTCTGGGTGTAAATTAATTGAAAGTACTGACTGTCCAAGTCCCTCTATAAGAGTACTCCCACCGTTCTTCACATAGCTTATCTGAGAATGTTCCTTAGAAAGAAAAACCCCAACTCTGGCCAGGAAGGCAGGCGTCTGGACCCAGCTCTGTGACCCTGACGCGCCCTCCCATAGCTGCTCCATCTGCTTCCATCATTTCTCTCCAGCACTGGACAGCACAAAATCTAAACGCAGTTTCTAGGGATCAGAGAAACTGAACACTGCAGTTTCTAAGTGTGCCTTACGTCTCGCTGGCCTCACCTTACTATCAGTGAAACCAGGGACGACGAGGGGACAGCAGGTCCCTTCGGGTTCAAGCCGCCCCCAGGGGGTCTCCATCTCCGCACTTGTTCTCCCGCCCTGGCCCTGAACCCTTAACACGGTCCCGCTGCACGCCGCTCTCAGCACAGCCGCCCCCCTCTGCACTCCGATCTGGGCTGCTTCGGCCACACAGCAGAGCAGACCTGACCCTGAACGCACGGCGCTGGTGACCCCGCCGCCAACCGTCCTGTTCGCCCAGTCCGCTCTGCTAGCCTCCAGGGCACTGCCACTGTTTTCCTGCCAGACAACCACGGATTACTCCTTCACCTCCTGCGGTTCCACACGTGCCACCTCCACTGTGCGGCTTCTCCAGCGTGAAATTTTAAAATTCGTCTCCCTGCTTTTCATTTTTTCACCATGGAATCTACTGCATCTTCCTTATTACGTTGTTGGTGGTCTTCTTCCCCCAGCAGGGCGCAACCCTGATGCGGGCGGGCGGGCGGGCGGGGACTCCGCACTCCGTGTCCCAGCCACAGCCCAACGCTGCAGCAGCCGCCGGGCCACGGGGCACCATTCAGGGTGGAGGACCAGGCAGTCGCCACCTTCTGGGGACTCAGGCCCCATCCCTGGGCCGCTTCACCCCTCTCCCCATGAGGATTTTTTTTTTTCCAGTACTGGGATTTAGAAGCTTGCTCTTAAGCCCCAGCTTCTCCTGCCTGTCACAGCCCTTGGGAGTTGTCTGCATTTGCTGGCTTCCCCTCCCTCCGTCGCAGCCTGCAATCACTGGAACCCACAGAGGCTCACAAAGCCAAAGGTGTCACAAATGAAAACCATCCTGGCCTCCCTTGGTGTCCACAAGCACAAGCAGCGAGGAGGCCACCTCCCCGGATTGGAGGACCGGATGTGTGTGCGCGCGCGCAAATGCCAGATCCTTCCTCTGGATGCCCACTCTCTCAGCTTCCCGCACTCCTGCTCCCTCTCCGCGTGTCCCTGCAGTGCCCGCCGGCCGCCTGTCCCTGGCGAGGTTAGGGTCTGTAAGAGTTCCAGACAGGCCCATCAGCGTCGCTGCTTACTCCACACCCTCCTGGGGCCTCTCGGTTAGTGTGCCTTCCCTCTAAAATCAGGGGTGAAGAGATGGAGTAGGTCCCTTCCGGTTCTCTGGCTCAGCCCTTTTCGAGGTCCATCTATGAACGACTCTGTCGTAAAATAAATAATATAAATAAATAAATAAATAAATAAATAAAAAGCGACTCTGTCTCAAAATAAATACTAAACGACAAAGGGCTGGGGATGCAGTCAGCGCAGAGCCCCAGGGTCCAATGCCCAGGGAGTGCAGGGAACCAGGCCGCCACGCCACAGGGCACCGGCACTGAGCACCTCTGTTCCATCCCACCCTTTAGCTGGAAGTCCGCCCAACGCCTGTCCTTCGATCCTGCCCACCACAGACTCTCCCAAGCCGGTTATCTGGAAGGAGTTCAGTTTATTACTAACGAATGAAAACACAACTGCTACAAGTCTTTGTAGCGACTCTGCAGGTTGTTTCTCTAAAGATGAGGAGAGCCACTGTAACAGCGTATTGGAGACCCCTGTCCAGCAACGCCGGGCCGAAACCTTACTGCCAACACCAGGGAACAAATCAGGCTGATGGGTCACAGGTTGACCTGAGCCCCAACCCTCCGCCCGCCAGATCCTAGCCACTAGAAAGGTGGGCGTGGTGGCGCACTCATGTGATCCGAGCAGTCGAGGCTGAGGCAGGAGGGTCTCGGCGGGCTCCAGGCATCCTGGACTGCACAGCGAGACCCTGTCTCTAAACACAAACACAAATAAAGAAACCCTCTAGAGGGGAAGCAGGCAGAAACCCCTGTAACAAAAGCAGAGGTCACACAGTGTCGTTGTAGGCCAGGGACCTTGCCCGGGTCCGCGCCCACCTCGCAATGCAGCAGCTCCGTGCCGGCCTCCTGCCCGCGCGCGATGCGGCAGAACACGCACTTGGGGTCGCAGTCCGTGGGTTCCCCGGGGGTTCCCGCCGCCGCCGCCGCCCCGGCACCGCCGGACTCCGCCATGGCGCCGGAGCTCGCGCTCAACGCCCCGAGCCGCCGGGAGGCGTCGCCCTCGCCCTCTCCCGGCGAGCGCCGGGCCGGAAGTGGGCCGCGCGCCGGACCAGGCCGCCGGAAGTGGGCGGGCGGCGCGCTCCGCGCCTGGGCCTCGGACGGTGGCCGCTAGGGGACGAGCGGGGGCGCGGCCCGGAGTCACCCCTCCCCCTGCGTCCCGATGGTAACGACCTCCGCCAGGTTCGTCGTGGTGACGTCATGGGCGCGCGACCTGGTTCGTCTCCGAGGCGGTGCTGTCGCCGCCCCTGTGCTGCGCCGTCCCCGGGAGCGGACCGAGGCCTGGGGAGGTTCCGACTGGACAGACCGTGGGCTTTCCCTCTGAAGGTTCCACTCCGCGCCAGGCCTCCCTCCCTCCTCCGCCGGGCAGGGTGCTTTCCTCACGCGCCTGTAATCCTGGTGCTCGGGAGGCTGAGGCAGGTCGAGGCCAGCATGGCTGCACAGTGAGTTCAGGGCCAGCCTAGGCTACAGGGCGAGACCCTGTCTCAGGCACCGGACCGAAGACAGACAGCTCACGTGATAAAGACAACTGTGCAGGTTGGAGAATGAGCAAGATTTCTAACATCTGACTTTAGCAAAGGCCTTGTTTCCTGTTTTGTGTATGTTTTCCCTCCACAACAATTCTAGGATTTAAGTTCGGAACTCCAAAATTCAACTTCACATCTGTTTATTTGCTTTTTTTTTTTTTTATGGTATCTGGAATTGAACTCAGGACCTTGAGCTTGCGAGCTATGCGGCGGCACCACTGAGCTAAATCCCCGGCCCTTTTCATTTGCTTTTTGTTGTAAACAGAACTGTTTAGGTCAGAATAGCAGTCTTCCTCAGCTCATGTTCCTCAGACCCTAGTAAATGTGAGCCAGGCGTGGTGGACACACCTGTGCTCCCTGGACTCCTGAGGCTGAGGCAGGAGAATGTCCTTGAGTTCAGGACAGCTAGGGCTACAGAGTGAGTTCATAGCCAGCTTGACCTACATAGCGAGACCCTGTCTCAAAAGCAAAAGTTTAAAAAAAAGAAAAACAGTGAATGCAGAGTTTTGCAGTTGGTAGTCATGTTCCAGAAGTTCACCGTCAGCGTTTCATTATGCCTCACCTAGACCACTGCAGTAACCAAGTTTATTGCCGGACAGTTTCAGTCAGACCAAACCCTTGTCACTGTTGTGCCCAAAGAAGAATTAGCAGGTTTCTAGCTTGGTATTCAAGATGTTTTGTGCTTTGACCTCAGCTTTTTATGATGCTCGGCCTTTGCTGAAGACCTAGCATGTGGCGTGTGTTTCCTAATCCTCAAAACAACAAGCTTGGTTTTAGACTCGCCACTCAGGAGATGAGGAACAGACTCAGACGCACCCAGTACCACACAACTAGTGACAGAGTCTAAGAATTCATCAAACTTCAAAAACCATCAGTCACCAGGGGTGATGTACTTGGGAAGCTGAGGCAAGGTCAAAAATCAAGGCCAGCCTGGGCAATTTAGTGAGACCATACTGTAAAATTAAATTAAAAGTCTGGAGATATGGCTCAGTGGTAGAGAGCACTTGCCCAGGATGTGAGGCCCTGGATATAATGCCTAGTACTGGGGAAACAGCAAAAAAAACAATTTTAAATCTGCCTTTTTAAACTTAAGTACAAATTTTTTAAGACTGAAAAAAAACCTTACTTTAACTAGCTCGTAGTAGTTGTATCATTAATATTTGTCAGTTTAGAGAATCCATAACAAAAAATTTTAGTGTGACTTCAGTAAGGTTTCCAAATGAATTTATGTTGTAGTAATCAGAAGCAGTTATGTATTTTTAGGGTAGCTGTTCATAACATATTCAAGACATTTTTCATTTCATTGCGGTTGGCCACTTCTATGAAAAACCCCTGAAGTATCTTCCTCCACAGCCAAATACAGGTTTCCACATCAGCAGATTAGAGTTTGTCAAATTGAAATATTCACTATCTACATATCTGCACTACCCCCTGACATCACTGTGTTCCTTTTTTTTTGGTACCGGGGATCAAACTCGGGGCTTTGTACTTTTGATACAGACAGCGGAACCACTGAGCTAAATCCCCGGCCCTACTGTGTTCTTATTTATGCTGTTTCCTCTGACATATCCTTGTTTCCATTTCTGCACAGCCATATTCCACCTTCTAATCCACTCTTCAAGTGCTACCTTCTTCACAAAGTTTTAGGCAAATCAAAACAAGCGCTTCCTCTTATGAAGTGATACAATGGTATTTCAATACTGCTTTTGTAGAACTTACCATTTGTATCTCACAGCTATTTCTGTACATATTTTTTCTACTAGCAGTTCTTTTGACAATAAGAGCAGATGTCTTTGACTCTTCTATGTATGGTGCCTAAAGCAGTGCTTTGCGTATAGGTAACATCTAACAGTCGCCTGATGAACAGGAGAATGATTGGGAACACTGCATGGGTATTCCACTTTCTCCGTGTGTAAGGGCACCAAACAAGAGTGAGCTAATTCATGTCTTCTGTGTGTATTAACTTATATAAAAGCACAAGCAGACCTCAAGTTTTCAAGCTGTTGGCCAAGTTCTGGAGGGTGGAGGGCTGACTTCTACAAACACCGGCCCCAGTTGCCTCTGTTCTGACCATTCCTAGATGCCTGAGATTGCTTCTCTCATCTGGCCCTTTCAGGAGCTTTCCTGCTGTCCCAGCTTTGAACTTCCTGTAGTTACCCTCCCTAGAAGTGGAGAGAACAACACAAATACTTTGGTATTTGGAAATTGTGTAGGAATGTGTTCACAGTTGGTGTAGGGCAGGCACATGCATGTGCAAAGGGGGGCTGTTGCTAATGGGGTTCTGGCAAGGTTCCCGTGGGAACCCCCATTCAGGTTGTTTGACAATGCATTAACGTTAAATGTACTTGCGAAATGGAGCGCTGTTTCACAATTTATAATTCCATCCCTGATAATGTGCCTAAGTTATTTATCTTCCTGTGTTGAGGCACAGTAGTTACTCATTTTCCTGTGCGCAGGCTTTCTGCTTATTCATCTATTAATTGGAGACAATGCCGCCTAATGCACAGTTGTGTTGTATCAGGACATTGCATTGTTTGAAAATACTGCAACGGGCCAGGGATTTAGCTCAGTGCCTTTCAAACTCAAGGTCCTGAGTTCGATCCCCAGTGCCAAAAAAAAAGAAAAAAGCACATACTGCAGGCTATGGATGCGAGTCTCAGTTCCATAATCTAACAAACCCCTAGGAGAGCCAGCTTTGGACATCACCTTTTCCATCACTGACGGGTGTTACTCTGCTCCTCTTTGCCAAGAAATTCCCCAATTATCTGCATGCTCCCCACCCTGTCTCCTGGTCCTCCCAATGCTTCCGGTCAAGCTTCCCCTCCACCACTCCATCTAAACGACTCCTGTCACTGACCTCAGTAGTCACTTCTTAGTCCTCATCTTTTCAGCAACAGCTGTCATTATCTCCCCCTGGAGAAATGTTTCTTCTCTCGAGTTCTAAGGCACTGTCCTTCCCTGGCTTTCTTCCTGTCTGCTTGGGCTGCTCCTGCTCAGTCTCTTATCTGCCTCTCCTTCCAAACCTCTCTCCATGAAGGGCCTCGGTCCCAGGTTCTCTCTCTCCTTTGGTCATCTCACACAGGCCCTGGCTTTAAACATCATATTTTTCCTGATGATTCCAAGAGTTGAATGTCCAGGCTGGTCCCTGAATCAGACTTGGAACACCCAGGTGCCTACTCGGCCACCACATACACATTACCCAGCAGCTAACATGTCTGCAACTGAGCTCGTAAGAGTAGTCCTCTATCCTGCTCTATAATCCTGCCAGCATCTTAGTTGAAAGACTCTGCATTCTGGTGCGGTTTCTGAGTTTTTGTTCCAAATAGTGGCAAAATACAGTTTTATTTCAACTAAGTTGTGAGCGGGTTTGAGATGGGGCAGGAGTGAGGAGCTCAGTGTCAGACACATCCCATCCATCAGGAAGATAATCTGAAGTGCATCCAGAATCCAACATCATCACTGCCATGTCCCCTGACAGAGCTGCCATCACCTCTCACATGAATTTTTTTAAAGGTTTTTTTGGGGGGTACAGGGGATCGAACTCAGGTCCTTCTGCTTGTAGGGCAGGTGGCAGAACCACTGAGCTAAATCCCTGGCCCTCACATGAATTTTGATAACCTCCTAATTGGACTTTCTGCTCCAAGTGAACCATGACAAGGGTTGCTCAGTGTGAATGTGCTCGGGCAGGCTGTGTCTGCTAACTGGCGAGGATCAAAGCTGGGCCCATCCTCCTACTGGGCCTGGAGGGAAAGTCCCATTCTCCTGATGGATGATTACATTTCACAGAAAGGACTTTCGGGTCCTTGAGAAACATTCTTTGGATTTGTAGGAGATACTAAGTCACAATTGGAACCCCTTTTTAGTGAATGGTCTCAGAGCATTTACTTCCAGGAACCTATTGTCGGGTTGTCTAGCACAAATTCCCCGGCAGCCCTGTGCATGCTACATTAAGCATTTGGAGGTGGAGTGTGGGTGTTGGGGTCCTGAGCCATGTCTGTATGCTGCCATGGTAGACTTCGGTTGTCTCTTAATGCAGAGGTTTAGACGGAGTCATTGTGCTGAGAGTTCTACAGTTCTCAAGTCTTTGCTAAAACCTTTTCTCAGTGAGGTCAGTGCTGACTAACCTTGTAACCTACCCCCTCACTTGCACCCCTACTACTCCCTCCCTTTTACTTTGTTCTATTTTTTCCATTGCATATTGTCCTCTACATATCAAAGTTAAGTGTTTGATATTATATAGAATTATTATATAGATTTAAATAGTATATATTTAACATAACATGCTTATTTATCATCGTGTTTGAATGTAGACTCTACAGCATTTACTATCTTTTGTTCCTATTTTGTTCTTCCATGTATCCCCAGTACCCTTCTTTAGAGTGCAAGATTCAGACATGGTAATCAGGCAGCTCCAAGGTCCTCAGTCTGAAAACTGGAAGGCTGATGCTTTCTTCACCATGATGAGGAATGCTGTGGGACTAGCAGATTTAGGGGCAGAGGACAGGGAAGATCAAGTATTCATTTCTGGGCATGTTAAGTTGAGGTGCTGGATCAGTTGAGCTACTGAGTTTAGGCTAAAATTGATGTAATGAACAACTCCCCGGAATCCTAATGCCATAAAGCAAAATGGTTCCTTTCTTGGTCACATTTGTGCCCATTGCTGGTTAGAGATGGCTTTGGGAACTTTATCTCAGAACAGGAGCTGCAGGAGCAGCTTTGTCTGGGGGGTGGCTGGTGTCCAGCCAGAGGAAAGAAAGAATGCATGGAGCCACTTGATGTCTGCTAAGGATTTGCAAAGGCTGTGGATGGCTGAGTATGTCCTTGCAGGTCATGTCCCAGAAGTGTGGTCTCCAGTGTGGCAGTGTTCACAGGAAGCAGAGTCTTTAAGATGTGGGACCTCATGGGAGGTCACTGGTTCCCTGGAGGGGGCTCAGGAAAGATTAATGTAGTTCTCAGGCATCCCGGTCACTTCTCAAGAGAATGGGTTATTTAAAAAGAGCAAAGCCAGGC